GACAAACTGTAGGCGGAACGTAGCTGTTCTGCTGGCCAGGTGGACAAGGCCCTGGCCCCCCTCCTCTCTCGGTAAAAACAAAACAGACTGTGGCACCCAATGTTTATCCTTCCAGAAAAAATTGATCATTTCTGACTGGATTTTCACCAGCAGACCTGGTGGCGGGTCTAAAACTGTCAGCTTGTGCCACAGCTGCGATGCCACAAGATTATTTAAAACCAATACTCTTCCTCTGTACGACATTTTAGAGTGTAGCCATCTCCACTTTGCTAACTTGTGTTTTACTTTTGCCTCTACGTCGTCCCAGTTTTTCTGCACCACAGTTTTGTTGCCCAAATAAACCCCGAGATATTTAAAACCGTCCTTCCTCCAGCCGAGACCTTGAGGGAGAACTGGGAGCCCAGCAGGCCATTCCCCTACAGCGAGGGCTTCGCTCTTTTCCCAGTTCACTCTCGCATCAGACAACGTAGAGAAGGTTCTCGTGACTTTACATAGCGTGTCGACGTCCTGTTGGTCTCTTATAAAAACAACAATGTCATCGGCGTAGGCGGACAAAACTACGTTGTCATTAAAACCAGGTAAAACCAAACCGTGAATACTCGAGCGTATCTTCTGAAGGAGGGGTTCCAGGGAGAGTGCGTAGAGCATCCCAGAGAGCGCACAGCCCTGTCGGACGCCTCTACTCACCCTAAAAGGAGCACACAGACTACCGTTGATCTTTAGCACACTCTCAATGCTGCTGTACAGTACCTGGATCTTGGCAATGAGACCAGCGCCGAACCCAAAGCTCTCCATGATCTTCCAGAGGAAGGCGTGCTCGACGCGGTCAAAAGCCTTTTCTTGATCTAATGAAATCAAGGCTGTTTTCAGACCCAATGAACTGGAGACTTCCAGAACATCTCGAATTAGGCAGACGTTGTCTACCATGGACCTGCTGGGGACGCAGTAGGTCTGGTCCCGGTGGATGACCTGCTCCACAGCTCCCCTCAGCCTAGTTGCCAGAACCTTGGAGAGGATTTTATAATCGGTGCAGAGGAGAGACACAGGGCGCCAGTTCTTAATGTCCTGCAGGTTCCCTTTTTTCGGCAGGAGGGTCAGGACCGCCCTGCGGCAAGACAGCGGGAGCGAACCAGTGAGCAGGCTCTCGTTGAAGACGTCTAGCAGGTCTCCTGCCAAGATGTCCCAGTAGGCTTTGAAAAACTCAACCGTGAGCCCGTCGACGCCAGGAGCCTTCTGACCCTGCATGCTCTCGAGGGCTGCGTGGAGCTCCTGAAGACCCAGAGGGCGCTCCAGGGAGGTGTTGGTCTCCTCAGAGACCTGGGGTAGTCCACGGCAGAACTCCCGATGCAGCTCCTCGTTCACCTGATACTCGCTCTTGAACAGAGCAGAGTAAAAATCCACAGCCCTCCTCCTGATCTGACCTGGTTCACTCAACCGCTGCCCTGTGTCTGACAGCAGCGAGTGGATCATCTTCCTCTGCCCGTGTTTCCTCTCCAAGCTGAAGAAGAAGCTCGATGGAGCATCCATCTCCGTGATGTTTTGGATCCGGGACCTGACCAACACGCCTTGGACTTTAGTGTCCAGCAGGTTTGCTAAGTCTAGCTTCTTGGATTTGAGAGCCTCAATGTGCTCTCGATTTCCTGTGGATTCGCTCAGTTGTTCCAAATCCACTATATTGATCTCCAGATCTCTGATAGATCTGGTAATGTCACGAGTAACATTGAGAGTGTGCTGTTGACAAAGTTGCCTGATTTGAACTTTCCCGTAGTCCCACCATTGCCTCAGACAGGTGAAATCACCCTTCCTCTGTCTAAAAGCAGTCCAAAAATACTTTAGAGTCTCTTTAAAACTTTGGTCGTGAGTTAAAACCGAATTAAAATGCCAGTAAGCGCTTCTTGGTAAAATGTTTCTGATAAAAACACTACCTAAAAGCAGCGAGTGGTCTGTAAAAGCCACAGGTAAAATCTGGCATGTCCTAAACACGTTGAAATGGTGTTTAAAACAATAAAAACGGTCAAGACGAGCTAAAGAGATGCAATTTTCTTTAAGGTGGGACCACGTGTACTGCCTGGAGCCTGCGTGCATCCTCCTCCATACGTCCACCAGGCCATGGGACGAGACCAGCTGCCGCAGAGCGCGCTGGGCTGCTGGATGAGGCTCTGCATGATTGCGGTCTAAAGACTCGTTTTCTGTGCAATTAAAATCCCCTCCTATAAAAACATAATCCTCGGACCCACAATCCCCCAACTTTCCACCAATTTCTTCTAAAAAACGTTTTTTCTCTGCATTGGCATTAGGAGCGTAAATATTAATAAAAATTACATTAAAATGTTCAAAACCAGCCTTGACTAAAAGACACCGGCCCTGAACTATGTGTCGCACCTCTATGCGGCTGGGAGTGAAAGCTCTAGAGAAGAGGAGTCCCACTCCTGCACTCTGGGAGGTGCCGTGGCTAAAAAAGGCCTCCCCTTCCCACTCCCTGCACCACTCTGTCTCATTTGATGCATCACTATGTGTCTCTTGTAAGAGCAGAACGTCAATTTTTTTATATTTAATGGTTTGGTAAACCAGTGCACGCTTCACAGCCTCTCTAGCTCCGTTGATGTTTAAAGATGCTATTTTAAAAGAATCCATGCAAAGTGAGAGGTTTAAAAGCGGGTACAAAAAGACAATAATAAATATTAAAATGCTGGTGTTCATCATGTGTTCACAATTGTTTTCTGACCTTGCCCATGATTTTCCTTAATCTAAATACTTCTTGGTCGGTGAACCCAGATTCTGTTTTGTGCCTCAGGTAATGTCTGGCCGAGTCGTAAAACGTCTTCAGGTTTGGGAAGTACTTTTCAACTTTCAAACCTCTCAGCCCTCGTGTCTGTTTGAGGAAGGACAGGAAGGTTTCCACAGGATAGCGGGGTTCAGTGCAGTCAGCCTGTGACACAGAGGCTTCACTGAAGTCTGAGCACCAGCCCTCACTGTCACTGCTGTCCACCCCCTCCCTCATCTCTGCGCACATTTTGCTGGCTCGTGCATTGACCTCTACGTTTTTCCTTTTTCCCCTTTTTTTCACCTGGGTTGGGGCCCCCAGCTCCATCTCCTCTACAACCGCCCCTGCTTCTCCCTCCACACCAGTTCCTGACTTCTCACTTTTCTTTCCTGCACCTTTTATTTCCTCATCCACCTCCACCTCTCCTTTCCCTTCCCGATCACCACACACCAACTCCTTGTCACCCTCCTGCACTCCTTGCTCTCCGTTTCTCTCCCCCACCTCCCCTGGAGCCTCCTCCTCACCATCCACAACACCACCATTCTCCCCACCACCACCATTCTCCCCAACACCACCATTCTCCCTACCACCACCACACACCTCCGTGCTTCCACCTTTTCCCACACACATACTTTTTGTTGCTTCACCGTCCACAGCTGTCACCTCAACACTAACTTGTTCCACGTCAGCTGGGGTCGCGGACTCTCCCGCAACAGCTGCGGGAGGGGGACCCGCCGCAGCCGGGGGGTTCCCCGCAGCAGCAGCCGCAGGAGGGGTACCCGCCGCAGCCGGGGGGTTCCCCGCAGCACCGGGCGGGGCCGGTCCGGCCCTGTTTGGGCACATTTTTATTACGTGCCCCTCCTGGCCACATCCAAAACATTTCATATTCGAGGAAGTGGCAAATAAAAGATATTCAAAATCGTCCAGTTTAACATGGAAACGAACGTTAAACTCTTCCCCCCGCTTGTTCAAAATCATAAAGAGTGTTCTCCTGTGGGAGACGACATGTTTGAGAAGTGGTGATTTACACCCCGTCAACACTTTTTTAATCGGGGACACCACCTTCCCGTGTCTGGACAACTCCTTAATCAAAAACTCGTCGCTAATAAACGGGGGGACGTTGGAGAGAGTGATCTTGGTGGCTGGCAGCGCCAGTGGTGACACCTGTAGGAACAAGTCTCCCACTGAGATGCCAGCCTCGACCAGTTGTTGAGCCTTCTCCACCCTATCAACAAAGATGACCACAGCCCCGTTCATGCGGGCTGCAGACCTGATGGACCCATGTCCAACCACCTCCCCCACCGCTAAACAAACTTCCTCCACGCTGCACGGAGAACCAGCACTCACCTTGATGCCGTTTTTCCGCGTCAGCGTGGAGAAGCTTCCCGTGCTCTCTACCACCATGGCGTCTAGACGCCGGCCAGCCAGGTGCACCTGACGGCCACACCCTGTCAAACAAACTTTTTTAAACTAATAAAACACCAAACCCCACAAATAAATAATTAACAAAAACATAAACACCAAGTGAAAAAAGTAGAAAAAGGACAGAAAAACCGAATGACTAGACACTCTCACTTTCTGCTCCTCTGCTCTTCCTCTCACACCCTCCTCTCACAAGAAGAAGAAGCTTCTGACATCCAGCCTGTAGGTGGTGGTGCACATCAAGCTGACACCCGGGACCGCAGCCACAGAAGAAGAAGAAGAAGAAGAAGAACCTTCTGACATCCAGCCTGTAGGTGGTGGTGCACATCAAGCTGACACCCGGGACTGCAGGGCCCAGAAGAAGAAGAAGAAGAAGAAGAAGAAGAAGAAGAAGCTTCTGACATCCAGCCTGTAGGTGGTGGTGCACATCAAGCTGACAGCCGGGACTGCAGGGCCCAGAAGAAGAAGAAGAAGAAGAAGAAGAAGAAGAAGCTTCTGACATCC